GATGTTCAGTTATAGATGTGTTTCTAAAAGTCCTCTTTCTTGTCCTCGGTTCAGCGTTGTTTACAAGCCTGCAAGTTACCTTCTTTTAAAGACGTGGCTCCGCCTTTGGTTCCTCAGCTCCCCGCCTATTGATGGATCAACACGACCAGAAGTAAAGTTGCATCAGATGTGAGTTAATGTTTTATCAGCATACTTCACCGACTGCCAGACAGGATGTCCTTCAGAGCAGATGACAGTGTTTTTGTTTTGACTTTTTGTTTCATATTTTCAGTTGATATAGAACTCAAACTTAGGCCTAACTGTCTGTTCATGCTGTTCTTTTTTTCATTTCAGGAAGACAAAACAACACATTTTAAACATTTCAATTAGTCTAATATTTCTGTTTTCATTAGCTAACTCTCTTTCTCCCTCAGTCTGAGCGTGTTTACTTATATCTGATAAAGATTAGAAAGATTAGATTAATTTAGTTAATGTTTGTCTCTCTCTTATTTACACCTGACGTCCCCCAGTGGACTGTGACCCACTAACCTCCTCTATTTTAAAGAAAATATTGTCTTTAGGGAGTGCGAGACTCATTTCAGTAGCCTTTTGTGTGAATGTCTATTTTCAGACTAAAAGGTTTGCTTATTCACTGTTGGAGATCTACTCCAGACGATTAGTGTGTCAAAACAGGGTACTGTATTATATAATTTGATTGACTATTATAGGAAATTGTCTTTGAATTGCACCTGCTGAAAACTATAGCAGAAGAAATGCCTTTTGTTTTTATTGTAGTGTGAGTTTGGCTACATTCACAATGTCTTATCCTTTCTAATTCAGTTTATTCTGTCAGTGCTGCTTGCGCGCCTAATAGCTGTACAAACTCATTGAATGTGTGTGTAATCAAGCATGACAAAATGCACTATGGTGGCTACTGTCATCAGCATAGAGGATCATATGATGCAATCTGCCACAACTGGCAAAATCCACATCCTCCACTGGCAAAGAGAAGCCCAATCCATCATTCAAGATTCACTGCAGTCCGGCCACAAGCTGTTTTGTTCCTTGCCGTCGGGCAGTCATTATTGCACCATCAAAGCAAAGACTAGCAGACGAAAGCTTCCACCCTATTGCAGTTCATAGACTAAATAACATTTTTAGGACATGTTCAAGGTTAACCTGGTTGAGATGATCTCTTCTCTTTACCTGTATTTTAAGTTGGTTTAATTTGAGCTCCTGAACATGAGTAATTCCCCTGTGTGTTTTTGTTGTTGTTGTTTTGTTGCGTGCGTGCGTGTGTGTGTGTTTTTTTTATAAATGTTCATTTTGTATATGTGTCAATGCATGGGTGTGTGTATATGTATTTGATATATATGTATATACATATTTCCCTTTGGTCTTGTGATGTTGTTCTTTTTGTTTAATAAACATTTGATCACAAAAAAAAAAGGTTTTCTGCTAGTTAGCATGGCCCTGTAGTCCCTGCTGATGCCATATACAAGATTCTGAAGGCAAAAAGCATTTGTTCCCCCATTGAAAGCCGTTCAAAAGGAATTAATACTTAAATTAAATGTTCTATTCATCAAAGAATTGTAAATAATGGCTGATGAAAATTCTGTTTAGGAATAGATTGCATTATAAATACATTAAAATTTGAAAACAGTTATTTTAGATTGTAATGATATATCACAATAACTATAAAACAATTCTAGTTTTTGATCAAATAAATGCAGTCTTAAAAAGCAATTTTTAAGCAATTTAAAAAGCGACTGACTATTTTAGTCTTTCTGTTTCAAAATGTTTAATTCAGTGTGTTATTTGCTGTTTCTTTGTAATTATTTGTTTATTTGCTGTTTCTTTGTAATCATTACAAATTACTAGGCAATTTCTGAGTGAAAATTGTTTCAAATCCTACACCATTTTTTTCCTATACTATATATTTTTATAATCTCGCTTGTCTATTATTAAGCAGTTTGTGTATAATGTATTTGTTGTTTTACTTTCCCCCCCAGCATGCTCTCATTTTGCACTCCATTGTACAAGCGCAGATGGCCATAAGTTCTCTACTCATTACAATGGAATTTGGCAGAGGTCTGTATGGTGACTGCTGTGGATATTTTTGGGTGATGTAGTTTACAGTAAGACTGCTGTGGTTCTGTGCTGTTGTAATGACAGAGGAAGAGCACAAGAGATTCAGTTTTTCTACTGCACTCAAATATTCCACGACTTAGTCTTGTGTACATGAACACATGAGCTACGTGAGAAATGAGGGAGGTTAGAGATTACAGAATGTATTTCTTCTTCCAGAGCCATAAACAATCCTGAGGTAGCACATGAGTAGAACACACTGTACCACAATGTTTTTTCCCTCTTTTTATCTGTAGCTCTCTAACCATAGTGCTCTAGTTCTTAATCTGAGTTGATTCTATGTTTTCTCAAATAAAACAAAACCTTTCTTCTCCCTAATCTCTTTAATTTTATGCTCTGTTTTGGTACAAATTCTTCTCTTTTCCTTTCCCTCTTTAGCCTTGACTGTTTGCCTTGGCTCTCAAACTGATATCATGTGAGAATGAGGTGTTCTGTACAAATATTTACAAAGTTATTGGCCGAGCCAATATGCATTCAGCTATGAAAACATAACCAATCTCTCTGCTTTTCACCATCCTTCTTGCCCAGATCAGGATTTCTTTGCTAGATAAACCACAGCTTATCGCCGTCTGTCTGTTTTGCTTTTCGCCATGCTTACAAGTGTTTCTGTTGAAAATTAACTCCATATTATCTCATCATTCACAGCCTTTGGACACAGTAGAGTTCAGGTCAGATATATGGGGGCTTATTACTGTCTGAATGATCTACTGTCTCTTATTTAATCTTTGACAGTTGCTTTTTTCCCCCCATATGGTCTCTTTATGTGCCATGCATTTAAAGTTACGCCCTGTTGCTTTCACTATATAATAATAGTACTTTGTCAAAGTTAGTTTAGGTATTAAAACATAAACAGCACCAGCTAAGCAAGAAACAAAGAATTTTAACCCTCCACAAAACCAATATACACATGAATGGTTCTTGAAATAAACACTGTTAAGATAGGGACATTTTTTTCTAAACAAAAATGAATCAAAAAGGCCTTTAAATGCACAATAGCTATAAATACATTAATGTGACATAATAATAGGACAATAATAAAACATCAAATGTTTAAGCATATATTTTAATAGTCTATAAAAACAAAACAACATTTAAAATCAAGAACCCCCAAAACAACCCAATTAATGACAGAAATGTATGCACCTAAACCTAACCCTTACCTAACTAGCCAAATATGTAGGTTAGTGTTGTGATAGTGACGATAATGCTAAAGATAACTTATGATGATTCTCTTTTGTGGCACATTAATTCTATCATTATCTTTTGATTATACAGGTGCATCTAAAAAAATTAGAATATCATGAAAAAGTTCTTTTTTTGTAACTTTTTTTAATCATATATTCTAGATTCATTACATGTAAAGTAAAACATTTCAAAAGTTTTTTTGTTTTAATTTTGATGATTAGAGCTTACAGCTCATGAAAGTAAAATCCAGTATCTCAAAATATTAGAATATTTCCAAAGATCAATAATAAAAAAAAAAAGGATTTGCAAAACAGAAAAGTTCAAGTTCTTTAAAGTATGTTCATTTATGCACTCAATACTTGGTTGGGACTCCTTTAGCACAAACTCCAGCATCAGTGAGGTGTGACATGGAAGCGATCAGCCTGTGGCACTGCTGAGACACTATTGAACCTTCAGCTCGTCTGTATTGTTGGATCCACTGTTTCTCATCTTTCTCTTGAAAATATCTCATAGATTCCATATGGGCTTCAGGTCAAGCATGTTGGCTGGCCAATCAAGCACAGTCATATCTAATCAGCAAACCACTTGGAAGTGGTTTTGGCACTGTGGGCATGTGCAAAAATCCTGCTGGAAAAGGAAATCAGCATCTCCATAAAGCTTGTCAGCAGATGGAAGCATAAAGTGCGCCAAAATCTCCTGGTAGACGGCCGCATTGACTTTGGACTTGATAAAACACAATGGACAAACACAAGCAGACGTCACAGCACCCCAAAGAAATGTTTTTCTTTACATGTAATGAATCTAGAATATATGAAAGTTACAAAAAAAGAGAACTTTTTCACGATATTCAAATTTTTTGAGATGCACCTGCATAATGTGTCCTAAACGTCATATACATTTACATTTACATTTAGTCATTTAGCAGACGCTTTTATCCAAGGCGACTTACAAATGAGGACAATAAAAACAGTAAAAACGAACAATATATATATATATATATATATATATAGTGGCAATATATTATAATATAAGCGTATGATATGTTTTAGAAAGAGGTGCATCATTTAAACCATTGGTCTTAGTGATTTATCTCTCTAAAAGATTGATAAAGTCCCCAACAGTAATTAATTAACAAGCCGTTTTGAAAACATGGCATGAAGTTTGTCCCTTCAGTGGGCCCATACAAGGCCTAGCTCGAGCTAGCCAATCGATGCAAAGGGAAAACAAATCCTAAAATTCGTCAAGGAAAGCGAAACCGGAAACTTCACACTGGACTTCAGGCAGCTTGGATTCTGTGCCTCTCCAGTCTTCCTCCAGACTCCAGACCTTCATTTCCAAATGAAATGCAACATTTACTTTTATCTGAAAAGAGGACTTTGGACCACTGATCAACAGTTCAGTTCTTTTTCTCCTTAGCCCAGGTAAGATGCTTCTGAAATTGTTTCTGTTTCAGAAGTGGCTTGGTAGCCCTTTTCCTGAAGACACAGTAAAAACGAACAATATATATATATATATATATATATATAGTGGCAATATATTATAATATAAGCGTATGATATGTTTTAGAAAGAGGTGCATCATTTAAACCATTGGTCTTAGTGATTTATCTCTCTAAAAGATTGATAAAGTCCCCAACAGTAATTCCTCAACAAGCCGTTTTGAAAACATGGCATGAAGTTTGTCCCTTCAGTGGGCCCATACAAGGCCTAGCTCGAGCTAGCCAATCGATGCAAAGGGAAAACAAATCCTAAAATTCGTCAAGGAAAGCGAAACTGTAATAAATAAATGTTTTTTGTTCATAGTTCGTGTATTAATGCATAAGGTGAGTCTGCAGAGCATCGCGGAACTGTGTGTTTGAAGGTGAGATTCACGCTTTTCTTGCTTATCAATCTGTGCGCGCGCGGAGGGTGTGATCTGAGCTCCATCCAGTTAATGGCGCACTGTTATGTATGTGGATTTGAGCTACATAACACCTAAACCTAGATGCATTATTAATAGAATTATTGCATTATGGCAATATTACTTTAGTTTTGTGCAATATCAGTGGTGCCGTTTAATTTGATTTCTTTAATATTTATATGTCTTCCTGAGTGTTATTTACATGTAAGTTACATTTGAATTCCAGTCTTAATAATTCTGGTTAAAGTTAACCGAAATAACGTTTTTTCTTGCAGGTACAATGGCTTTAGTGTCAGCAGACACCAAAATCGCAGAGTTGCTGAATGAGCTGCATCAGCTCATAAAGCAAACTCAGGTGAGCACTACTCTGTTGTCCCATGCATGATCACTGTAGTTTGAGTTTATATGCTTTAGGACCTCCTTTTTGTACACTTTAGCCCACATCCAGTTTTTATACCCTAATCTCTCTTAAAAATACACAGGAAGAGCGATCGAGAAGTGAACACAACCTTCTCAACATCCAGAAAACACATGAAAGGATGCAAACAGAGAATAAGAGTAAGACATGAATTCCTATTGCATTGTTTACAACGAGAACAAGTCACATTAATATTAAGTTAATAATTGTAATAATCGCATAAAGAGAATAAGTAGTGTTCAATACGGTCAAACTAGATCTCTCTTGTATTTATGAATTTAATTTCTTGTCTGATATTTCTGTTCCACATTAAATCTGCTTATTTCTTCCTCAGCTTCTCCATACTATCGGACAAAACTGAGGGGTCTTTACACTACAGCTAAAGCTGATGCTGAGGCTGAATGTGGGTAAGTTGATGTGAAAGTTGTTGCATTTTGGCTTCCCTTTGCAACGCTTTACATCAATTCAAAGGATGGAGCTTCACTTTAAAAAATACTTATAAAAGATGATTAACTAAATGATCTGTTCTTGACATTATTCTTTTCATTGTTGACTATTTTGTTTTCTTTTTACAAAAAAAGCTGGAAGATCTTGAACATCTTGTAGTTGTATAGCCCCATCTTGTGGAATTTTTGCCCAAGGCTCCCAGATGTATGCTGACTGGAAAGACAGACTTGTTGAATATTATTAATCCTATAAAGCCTACTGCATCATACTTGATGCACAAATTTGTGCATCAAGTATTTTTGCTGTGAAATCTTTACTGATTTTTATAAAGGAAACTTTTAAAAGAATAACTTTTATATTGTTAATAATATTTCAAGATTAACATTTACTGGATTGAATAACTTTGTTAGCCTTAAATCTTTTTTTTTTTTTTTTTTTACAAAAGTCATGTTAATATGTGAGTATCAAATATAATACATCAGGATTTTGAGGAACAATTATTTGTACATCTCTTAATCATTATTGTATTGCATTGCATTGTATGTTTTGTCACCCTCAGTAAAAACTGCAGACCTTTGATCATAAGATCTAAGCATTTAGATACCATCTTACAAAGTCATATTACTGGGAGATATAGAGTTAAATATGATATTTCTAGGCATTTTATGTAAGTAATCTGCTATACTGTTATACAATTCTCATTGATTTACATTAAAAGCTATCAGAATTTCATCTTAGTTTTTTGGACATATAAAAACTGCACCAAATCACATATTTTTTCTCACTATGGGCCTCTGAATAAAATGGAGTTTTTTTTTCTACTCCTTGAGTATGAGCTCCATATTCTCCTGTATTATACTAAATGTGCCAAAAAAAGCCTGATGTATCAACTATACTCAAAATGTGTAAATACATTTTTCTAACCATTATTTAATATGTCAAGCTTTACAGCGTTAATGGATCAGATTTATATGCATCCCTCCCACAGTATACTTCGCCGGGCGCTTGACAAGATTGCCGAAATTAAATCCCTTCTGGAGGAGAGACGGATTGGTAAGTCTTGGATATTAGTTTGTAAACATGTTCATCTGCATGTATTTGGACAAATGTGGAAGCTAATCAAACTCTTCCCTTTCTGCAGCTGCCAGGATGGCAGGAGTGTACAGTGACACCGACCCACCCAGAAAGACCATGCGCAGAGGGGTCCTGATGACCCTGTTACAACAGTCAGCCATGACACTTCCTCTCTGGATCGGCAAACCTGGCGAGAGGTATTCAGAGTCTCCTACATTATGCTTTCTTCATTTTAGAAATGCTTATTTAGTCAGTGAATAATGAGTCAAAATGGTTTCATTTCACTAATTCATACCTGTCTTACTCCTTCAGTCCACCACCACTGTGTGGCGCTATACCAGCAAGCAGTGACTATGTGGCTAAACAGGGTGACAAGGTGGCGGCGCGTGTGAAGGCCGTAGATGGTGATGAGCAGTGGATTCTTGCAGAAGTTGTCAGCTACAATCACTCCACCAACAAGTAATCATCTACTAGTTGAACTCAGCAATGGGGCTATATATTTATTTCATTTTAGCTTTTAGTTTTAAACCTGATTGTGTAAAATGGTAATGTAACATCATGATGATATTTTTTTTATCAGATATGAAGTGGATGACATTGATGAAGAGGGTAAAGAGTAAGTACAGATCCATTATTCATGATTTTCACCCTCATGTGAATTGATACACTGTTGTTGTTGTTTTTTTAAAGAAATCAGTAATTTAGTTAGGATGCATTGAATTGATCAAATGTGACAATAAATACATTTATAATATTACAAAATGCTTATATTTCAAATGAATGCAGATCTCTTGAATTTTCTATTTTTCTATTTTCAAGATCCTTGAAAAAATGCATCATAGTTTCCACTAAAATATTGAGCAGCATAACTATTTCCAACATTTACAAGAAGAAATGCAAATCAGCATATTAGAATAATTTCTGAAGGACCATGTGACACTGAAGACCGGAGTGTAATGATGCTGAAAATTCAGCTTTGCATCACAGGAATAAATTACATTTTAAATAAAGTTATTTTAAATTGTAATAATATTTCACACTTGTTACTATTTTACTTAGTGACTCCAAACTTTTGAACAGTAGTGTAATTCCAGGAGTGCTTTACTCAAATGATCTCATTTTCTCTTTTATTCAGGAGACACACGTTGAGTCGGAGAAGAATAATTCCTCTTCCACAGTGGAAAGCAAACCCAGAGACCGACCCAGAGGCCCTCTTCAGTAAGGATCAGCTGGTGCTGGCCCTCTATCCACAGACCACGTGCTTTTACAGAGCTCTGATCCACACGCCGCCACATCGGGTGAGCAGAACCAGAATGAGTTAAAACACTGATTGAAGTGTAGGATAAGAGGCTTCAGAGATACTCGAAGTGTTGAAGATTTGTTATCACTCTTAATGATGCTACAGGGAGGTTTGTAGCAGTGCTTTTTTATAAAACCTTCCAAACTCTTGTTAGAATATTTCTTTGTTATGGGTTTTGTTGCATCACTAGACCAGATATATATGAATAGAAGAATAATTTACCTATAATTTGATACATCTCATGTCTTTTCCAGCCCCAGGATGACTACTCGGTTCTGTTTGAGGATACATCTTATGCTGATGGCTATTCTCCACCTCTCAACGTCGCTCAGCGATATGTAGTGGCCTGCAAGGAGAACAAAAAGAAGTGATAGAAATATACAAAATGGGACATTATTTGCAAAAAGATCCTGCATGGTTGTTGTGATTGAAAACAGGATTTTGAGTATCGATTCTGTTTTTATGTGTTATTTTCCCCATTTTCTGTTACCATGTACATAGTATTGGTATATTTTATACTGCATCTTTTGTATGATGTTTTTGTGAATCTGAATGCAAGGAGACCAACTGCAATGGAATTGGGCTTAAGTAATAAACCCTTTACATGTGAATTAAAGGTACACAAATCACAAATCTATTGTCTGTATTTTGTAATGGCCAAATAGTATGTTTCAAATGTTAAAAATGGATCTTGTAAAGGGCTTGTAACCACCACAGATACTCAGAACTACACATTCACCAAACAGTGGTCAATAATTTTATTTTATTTTTTAATGGCAGATTATTTTAAGTTTTTTTTATATTAATCTTGAATATATAATTCCATCCTTGATCTTGAGATAAATTAAATCTTGAAAGATGAACATTACACCACCGCTTCTAGACCTTTTTCTAGTATTGTATTATAGAGTGAAGCTGTTATTAATAGTTATATAAATTATCTTAGCCTAGGAAAAATTCACTATTCACTAAAACATTAACCTCATCAATGTAAGAAGAATCAATGGAATCAACTAAAGTATATTTTTATTAATGCTTAAACAGACAATACAAAAGGAACATAGTCAAGGGATCACATACAAATCCAGAAAATAATAACCAATAATAATGACCACATACACATTAATAGTAACTTAAATACTGTTACAAAAAAACAGAACGTGAATGACATTACAGAGACATTACAATGAGATAAAAAAAACTATCACATACAAGGAAAGCATCTAAAAACATGAATTTTCTTTAAATACTTCTGCATAATATTTCAGAAATCGTAGGGATTTTTTATTATTTATAAGATGAAGAGATTTTAGAAGTGAGTTTAATTCAATTTTAAAAAGAGGATAGGATGGGAAAATATTTGCGAATTTTTGTTTGTGAATGAAAAATTTAAACCAAATCAAACCAAATAACTAAACTAAAGTATTCCGTGAGCGAGCCTTTGTTTCGTGACGTCACGCCCTCACCGAGAGCGCACGCGGAAACGAAACATGGCTGAAATGGTGAGATCTCGTTTATAACAGTTATAGAGTGTTAAGTTTGAAGAGTTATTGCTACTCCAATTCTGCACATTTCACATGGACACGACGTTTGAGAAGTTGTCGTTAGAAAACAATCCTGAATATCTATTATCTATAACTGCCCTAATGTGCAATAGCACGCTGGATAATCAGTTGTCGTCGATTAATCAACAACAACATAGAAAAAGTGTTTTTAAAGTAAATGTTTTTGTTCAAGTAAATGTTTAAGTTATACCCCAAGTTTGCAGTAACTCACAGAGCCCCAGTTTAAAATTGAATAACGCTATGCTTGTGCATGTGTTTACATTGATTAATAAACAAGAAAGAAAGTGTGAAAGTGACGTGACATGTGGCCAAGTATGGTGACCCATACTCTGAATTAGTGCTCTGCATTTAACCCATCCAAAGTGCACACACACAGCAGTGAACACACACAAACCGTGAACACACACCCGGAGCGAGCGGCAGCCATTTTTTTGCTGCGGCGCCCGGGGAGCAGTTGGGGGTTCGGTGCCTTGCTCAAGGGCACCTCAGTCGTGGTTGAAGGTGGGAGAGAGCGCTGTACATTCACTCCCCCCACCTACAATCCCTGCCTGTACCAGACTCGAACCCGCAACCTTGGGTTACGAGTTCAACTCTCTAACCATTAGGCCACGACTTCCCCAACAAAACAATAACAGTAATTTTACTCCGTCTCAATTGGAGTTAATGGTCATTTAATCATGGTATTAGCCGTTTACAGAACGGTTTCGATTACTCTTGTGATCTATCCGTCAATGAAAACAAATTTGTAAGCTAATTCTACTTAAATTGCGATTGACAAGCTAGACAGCTAACTATTTACATAAATGCATTTTACAAATATAATTTCAGTTTAAATCCATCAGGTAATATGGGAAATCTGTTGCCTTTTTCCTTATTTCAGGTAACAGACAGTGACGGGGGTGTAACTGTATCAGACCCTCCAAAACAACCCCCCAAACGCCGACGCATCCTCGACGCTGCCTCCATCACAACAGTACCTGTTTACTCCAACAAGGTGAGTAGATCTCGCCTGCTTGACTTCAAAGACCTTCCTGACTGAAAAGAATATACTTGATGACCTTTCCCACATGTTTGATAATATGACTGTAATCTAAATGCATGGGGATAGATGTGTTGCAAGGTGTTAACATATGCTAAAAGATGATTCAGATGTTACATTATTGTGTTTTAGGTAAACAGCTCCTTAAATCTGAAGCCAATAACCTTCAAACACACCACTCTCACAGGTATAATATAACTTTTTATATGCTAACATTTTATTTTAGAAATGTATATTTTTATTCAGCAAAGATGCATTAAATAAATCAAAAGTGACCATAAAGACATTTATGATGTAAAACAATGTCAAATAAATGTTGTTTGGATTTTTTTTGTTTTTACTGTATTTTTAAAAAATCAAATAAAGGCACGCTTAATGATCATATCCTTTCAAAAACATTTGAAAATGTTCCAACCCCAAACTTTTAGATGATAACGGTGTATATCTGGCCTTTATGTAATTTTTGCTTCCTGTGAGTGAGGGTTTCCCATCACTCTTCATTATAGATATTTATCATTTTGTGAGTGGGAGTAATCCGCGCCATCCTCACTGTTTTCATTTATTGTGTCAGATGAGGAAAAAGGTGGTCCTCTGTGGTCTCCTTCCCCACCTCGTACAGAGAGACGGCCAATCAGCATTGATCTGAGTGGCTCAGAGGAGGAGCCAGAACAGACTGAAGCTCAGTAAGTACACAGACTGACTTTACTTCACCATGAAACACAAAAAGTGTGTCATTATACACCCAAAATCAATGTTGTTAAATAGCTCCTTGATATTCAAATGAACCATAGCCCGTCCAATTAATCATCTGATGATTGATAAGCATACCCTGAGCGGTGTTCTTTCATCTAAACCATCATCTTCCATTTCTCCCTAGGCAGATCCTCCGTTCCCCCTCTCCACCCCCTCCACCATGTAGTCCACTACTGAAACGGAGCAGACGGGCAAACCCAAAAATACAGTCAGTGGCACTATCAATAATGAAATAAGGCTGATGATACACGCGGCAACTTTTTGAGCAATGTTGCCGTCAACGGGCAACCAGGTGAGACACAGAACCCACGACCAATCTAAAGTATCCAGATATAAATTTGTTACCCATTCTCAATGGGAAAGTGCCCAAGCAACATTGCTCAAAAAATGTTTTGACATTTCATGATCTCTCTTTTATATTGAATTTCTCATGCAGTTTTTAGTGTTTTAATGCTCTTATGACAGACAATGTTAGCTTTTTTCAAATAGGACACAGAAATGAATAACAATATTAGTAAAGTAATGAAATGAACAGGAAGTAAGGCCAGAGATAAACAGATCTGACATTCTCTCATTCTCTCTCTCATCTCTGTCCTAGAGAAATCCACAGGAAATGGGATGCGATTGGCTCTCTGGTGTGTCTCTCGCATGAGCCTCAGGAGCCTGTGGTTGAATACAGAAACCCTCCATCTCCTGTGAATGACTCTGATGATGACATCTTCATCATTTCTTCTGACAGCAAAAAGAAACGACGTCCCCAAAATGCTGAGGACAGAGACTCAGCGCGAGAAATTTCACTAAAATTTCGCTGTCGAACAGAGTTGTTCAAAATCCCAATACTGTCTGTAAGTGGAATAGAGACTCTTGTTTATGACGTATTGCTCGATATGTGGCGTATTTGTTTGGTTGAGTATGGTCCAGTCAAACTGGAAAATGAATGTTTTTAAATTTGACTTTTATTGTATGTATGTGCCTTATGATTGCAGACGGCTCCGTTGAGTAAAGCTGTGGAACAGTTGGCCAACAAACTCAATGTCCGACCCAGCCAAATTCTGTTGTTAAAGGGGTCATATGATGCGATTTCATTTTTTCCTTTCTCTTTGGAGTGTTACAAGCTCTTGGTGCATAAAGAAGATCTGTAAATTTGCAAAGGCTAAAGTCTCAAATCCAAAGAGATATTCTTTATAAAAGTTAAGAGTTAGCCACGCCTACCTAAAACGGCTCGTTCGAACACGCCCCCACATATCTTTTTAGCAGCATCATATGACCCCTTTAAAGAAAGATATTGATCTCCCTATTCACTCGTCCGTCAGTGAGCTGGGTCTCGGCATAGCTGACATTATAGGTAATAGAAAGCAGTAGTGATTATGAGCTGAATTCATTAGCATGCATCGCAGTGCACTTACAGAGTGCACCAGTAGGGTTCCAGATGTAAAAGCTCCATTCATTTTCTCCACAGGAAAATAATCTTTAATGCTAACTGATAAACCTTTAAAGAGAGACCTGTTGCGAGTTCTTGACATGGTTAAATGATGGTACATGGAAACATTGACACAATGACACATACAAAATCCTGCAGCCTTCATGCAACTCCTTTTCGTCTCTGCTGTCTTCCCCAGATTGTGTAGTAACAGAATAAACAAGAAGAGAGCGACAAAAGTAATGTCATTACTGTGCGACTGCAAGGCAAAGAGAAAGCATCTGTGCAGGAGTATTCCCTACAAAAGGTGTGTACTGTACATCTTTTTGGATCTTGTTCTTGTTCCTGTGAAATTTATTTAGTACTCAACTGTCATTGTTCATTTTTTTTTAAAGAATGCTCCTCTAGGATCCATCCTGTCTCAGTACGTCTCTGGTTTGAGCGCCAGTGCTAGATGGAAAGCCAAATTTATCTTTGATGGGTCAAGGGTCTCATATAATCAGACTCCAGCTGACCTGGACATGGAGGACGGTGACGTCATTGAAGTCTGGGCCTAAACGCCCTCAAATATTGATGTTCTGTACTTTTTCAAAACCATGTTCTGTAATGCAATGTAACGTAATATGATATGGTTTCTGTGGTTCGTAAGGACGGAGAAAAAGATTTGTAGAGGAGGTCAGACTTCTTTTTAGAAAAAAATATTTTTTTTAAGGTTTCATGAACAATACACATTTGACGTGTTTGAAGACATGCAAAAACAATATAAAGTCAGTTTTACATTGTGTATATACATCAGATTTATTTAAGAATTGTTTATTTATATAATATATATATATATAAGAGTTTACTTGATTGAAAGGATTATAATAAAATGACAAATTTGATAGATGTTTTTGTTGCCTGTAGTCACTTGTGTCAGTTTTCTAAAGGGCAATATTTGAGTTGATTTTCGGGGGCATTTTTGTCCTTCTGAGAGCATGATATTTTTATTTTATGAAACAACACCACACCCATCACTATCTGTGGTGGTGGTGGTGGGGTGGGGGGGGTTTCACATGACTAGGGAGCGGAAGTACTGCGTCATTCCAATATGGCGTCGTGCTGAACTTGTAGATCATCAACAAAACAGAAAGTCGGTCGGCTGCACAGTTCGCCTCGAGACCCTCCACTGCAATTAAAAAATGTCCACACAGGAGGTAAGGTAAAGATAGTGCCCTTAAACGTCTTGATAACTCAGAGGGAGCCCAACAGCGTCCAGAAGAAGAACTTTGACGACGCCTCTGACTAAGCTTTGCATTTTCCAGGTAAACAACAGTATATGTGTGAGGACTGATTATGGAGCAGTAAAGTCTCGGGAGACAGTTCATATCGCTCTTTTCTATAGGTTTCGTGATTTGCATGTTTCCGTATGAAAGGCTGTTTTATAGTTGTGAATGAATGTTTTGCTCCTCTAAGTGTTGAGGAAACACTGGGTGTGTTTTAAACAAATATACCACCATGAGAGCTTTCCATGCCTTTTCCATAACAACCACATCTAAAAAAGAAGAATACAATGTTGTTTTTGTTTTTTTTGTTGAGGTTGGCACTGTCAGTAGAATATGTTGCTTAACCAGCTTCAAGCATCACATGTCATCGTCAGTCAGCAAAACCCGTTTTTTAGTTGGATTCAACCGACAGTTAAAGGATATAGATAACTGAAAGTAGATAGGGAAACTTCTGACATGTTATTCCACATAGTTGTTTAGGTTTGGCCATTTAAATTCATTTACTGATATGCAGGAACTCTTAATGACTGTTTTAATCAAACCTAAACTTTTACATTAATATATTATTTATTAAAATTGTGCATGCATACAGAGCTATCTCAGCCCATAGTGTAATTTCTCTTTCAATATTTTTACTGTATTCACATGACATTGTGGCGAGATTAATTCACATCACGAGCATGTGCTTACTTCCCTCTCCATGTGTCTAAACTAGATTATAAATGTAATTCATTCTTCCTGTCTTCATAGAATCTATTCTAGAAAAAAGGTCTCAGCGCTTTAGAACAAAGAACTCTTTGGCAGTATTCTTTATCTTACTTTTTCTATGTTTTAAATGGATTATCTCACTCAAAAATAAACTTTTTTGAGGGAGTGGGTGGGGATCAAAAATCAAAAATCTAAAATCTAAAATGTAATTTAAACCCAGAAATAAATGTTTAAAATATTATAAATTAAAAAGAAAAACAAAGAATGATTGTGACAAAATGAACAAGGAAAATTCAGATTCTGCACTATTTTGTGGTCAAGCATTTGTAATGTCTGCAGTTTTTCACTGTAAACAAAGTAATGATAATATAATTTATGGAAAAGCTTCTTCATTTTAAAAATGCAAATTAGATGCATTTTGGCTTGGTTTTAAAAGACTTTTGAACCCCACTGTACATCCTCATGTGTGGATGAGATTAGCAAGTGATCAATAGTCTGTGTGTAATCAGTGATAGACTTTGTTCTTTTTTTGTTGTTGTTGTTGCTCTTGAGCATTTAATGCCTGAAACCGTGAGTCAGTCTTTGGTTTTGCTTCCCATAAGGATCTTTGATTGTGGTAGACCAAACCATCCATGTTCTAGAGAAGTTTTGTGTCTGTATACATGCAATATTCCATTCTCTAAGTGTAAAAAAGGAGCGCTAGTAATGCCAAGGTCATAGGTTCGATTCCCGGGGAATGTGTGAACTGATAAAATGCAGTGTAAGCTGCTTTGAATAAAATAATCTACATATGCAAAAATGTAAATGTAAAACTTATTTCTAAGACTTTTTGCTACTGTTGATTTGAACTCTATGCTGGCATTTTTTGCTCTTCATCAAATTCTTTTTCTGCTGCAGTGATGACAGGGACAGATGTTTCCGCAGACACCACACCCTTCTTCTCAGATGATAATGAGGGGGAGGGGCCTACTGACAATGGGGTGGGATCACCTCAGCCCGAGGAGGAGGAGTCTGCCAGCGGAGTGTCTGATAAGAGGGCTAAACTGACTGTGGCTGTACTCTGCTACATCAACCTGCTGAACTATATGGACCGATTCACTGTGGCAGGTAACCAGCGCTGTTTGATTTCAGCACATCAGTGCTGCCATAAAGTGCTGGATCCCTTTTGATTCAGATCAAATGCACAAGCAAGACACACAGCAGTAACACCCATACACAGCATGATAATGTGATTTGTTCATGATATCAGATTATGCTAGCCTAAATTGGTCTTTTGAATCAGAGGGCTTTTATATCCATTCACGAATTTTAAAAATACCAGCTAATTTAGTTTTTCTTTCATGTATTGTTGTCTGATGCAGTGTAGGGCTGTGCAAATAATCGAATGCGATGATCATGCGCATCTCGTCAGTAAAGCCGGTTCTGTGATTAGTAGTAAATCTCCATCACGTGCTTTCAGATGGAGCGGCATTTACTACACAGAGCCGTAGTTCACTGACAAGCTACGCAGTATCGCGTTCATTATCGCCGATGTATCGCCTGCGATTATGAACACGATATTGCGAAGCTTGCCTATTAATTTTATTATTTTTTTATTTATATTAGCCTATTTTATTCTGTTTTCTCAGAAGCGCTGCTGGTGCGTGATAATTTGAGGATGTGTGAATCCAGGTTTTGCTGTTGCCCTGTATGCTGCTGTTTGCACGTTAAAATAAAATATTTGTTTGTATTTTTTATGTATTATCACAGATGCTTGTCCATTCTATTTTTTTTAATACAAATGTATTATTCTAATTTGATCAGTTAACAGTTAATATTCGGATAACGAGCAGCGGTTGTCGGTCAGGAAAATTAACCGAAAAGAGCATCCCAAGTCCTTACTACGTTTTTGGACCTTGATTGTGTTAGGATCATTGCTGTCTATACAGGGTCAGAAAGCTTTTAGATTCCATCAAAAATATCTTAATCTGTGTTCCGAAGATGAACGAAGGCCTTACAGGTTTGGAATGACATGAGGCTGAGTAATTAATGACAGAATTTTTCATTTTTGGGTGAACTATCCCTTTAAGTTCATCTAACATTTGTATTTTATTTTAGCTTTATTTTTTATTTAGTTTGACTTTCAGTTAGGGAAAAAATTATTAGTATTACTTATTTTTTAAAGAATTATTTCTGGCATTTTTACCTTTATTTGATAGGACCGTAGTTAGACAGGAAGCGAAGTTGGAGAGAAAAAGAGGGACGGGATTGGGTAAGGTCCACGAGCTGGGACTCGAACACGGGATGCCCGAAGCGCAACGGCACTACATGTCGACACGCTGCCCACGAGGCTATCGGCACCGACAAGGAAAATTATTTTTAATAGTTTTAGTTAACAGCAACAACACCTCTGATGAGGTTTATACACATACTTTTGCTATTAGTAATAGAGGCTTTGTGGAAGGCAAAGAGATGTGTTGCCCCCAATGACTGTTTGATATATAAATATCTGTAGAAAGTTTTCATTGTTGTTTTATTCTGCAAAACATATAATGTGCAATGGTATTTTAATTGGTCAGTAATAAAGCTGTGATAACACTAAACGTCCTGTCTTGCAGGTGTACTTCCAGACATTGAGCATTTCTTCAGCATTAGTGATGGAACATCAGGACTACTTCAGACAGGTGAGCGGATTCATACCATTTGAAATCCATTTTATTATCATTATTACTCTTATTATTATTTATTATTTTATTCACTTTGATTCTTTATTCTTTTTAGTCTTCATCTGCAGTTATATGTTCTTGGCTCCTCTGTTTGGATACCTGGGCGACAGGTATAACAGGAAGCTGATCATGTGTGTGGGAATTTTTTTCTGGTCCCTAGTGACGTTAGCCAGTTCCTTCATCGGAAAAGACGTAAGTCGTACATTAAACCTTTCAGACAAATGCATACGGGTTAATCCTCCCCTTTATATTTGAATACTTTTTATTTCAAAGCAACATCTTTCAGTCTTCTATACTAAAGTGTGTATTTTAAAGTGTGATATTGAGAGAGTAAGCTAATAGGATAAATCTTCTCTCAGCATTTCTGGGCGTTGTTGTTGACGCGAGGGCTGGTGGGTGTTGGGGAGGCCAGTTACTCCACCATTGCTCCCACCATCATCGCTGACCTGTTCATCAAGGAGAAGAGGACCAACATGCTGTCCGTTTTCTACTTTGCAATCCCAGTGGGCAGGTGGGACAACATACACTCAGGGGCCGTTTACACGACAACGTTTTCAGCCAAAAAACGGGAAACTTTTTATGCGTTTTGCCTGTTCGCTTACACGACAGCAGTGTTTTGGGGACTGAAAAGCATAATTTTGAAAATGAGTTTTTGAAAACGCCACCGTTATCGTTTCCGTGTAAACACCCAATACGGGAATCTTTGAAAACGGTGACGTCATGCGCGTGCGTAATACGTGTTAGGTATGTAGACATGTGCAGTACGTGTCGATTTTAAAGGCAAGCGTGAACAAACATACACAACAATGGCAGAGTACATGGTACTGTTGTTGCTGCTCAAGAGTTTGCTAATGCAGCTAATGCTGCTATCGCTATGAATGAGGAGTAGAGCAACAGTTGGTGTGGTGATTTTAGTGACGGAACTCCCGCCCACAAAGAGCTAATCCTCATTTCCCTGCAGGTACTGTTTACTAACAAGGTGACAGCGCCAACTACTGGCCTGGCATAAGTAATGCAGCGTTTTTGGCCGTTTTCGCGGATATGTGTAAACGTGAATCATTTTGAAAACGTTGTCGTGTATACGTGAAACTTTTTAAAAATGCAAGGGAAAAACCTTTCCGTTTTTGACTACATTGTTGTCGTGTAAACGTAGCCTCAAACAGAACACTGGGTGGAAATACTGGTGTTTGGGTTATTCACACTTCAGCTCTATGCACATTCACAGCATGGTTACATTCTCACACTCTGCCACGTGCAGTTACATTATCAGTTTTTTTTCCTTCACACCAACCAAAGTTGCATTTATATGTTTCCAGGCTGCTACAGTTGAGCACTTCCGATAGAGACCTAGTCACTGGATATTTCAAATTTTATGAGAATACTTAAATACATTGATATATTAATTATCTGGCTAGACATTTCCAAAATCTACAGACAGCCTTGTTAATAAATAGATTGCATTTTCATTTTTTATTTTTCTCATGTAAATGTTGTGTAAAATATGTTCATTCAAATTCAGTAATTATTTGCAATATTCTATTTGCTTTTGTTAAATTATTGTTACACTACCAACCCTCTACATTGCGAGTAAATCACTCGCATATGCGACTAATCTTCACTCTGGGCGACTAAATGATGTCTAATATTAGCCCATTCAAATTTATGTGATCAAAAACAGTTAAACGGTAATATATTGTGACATATTTTTAGAATTAACAACTATTTTTTAATTTAATATTTTAATTTATTCCTGTGATTGTGAAGCTGAATTTGCAGCAGTAATTTGTTTGGCTGCTTAACATTTTTGTAGAAACCATGACACTTTTTCTTTGAATTCTTTAATGAATAAAAAGTTCAAAAGAACAGTGTTTATTTAAAATATAAATCTTTGTAACATTATAAATGCCCTTTCTGTCAATTTTAATCAATTTAATGCATCCCTGCTTAATAACAATTTCTTTAATTTCTTCAAAAAATAAACTTTTAAAGAATGTTAGTTTGTGCCCCTGAAACATATTAAAGAACTAACTGTATTTGGTCACTTTATATGTGGATCAGACGGCCACTCTCTGTTTAAATGGACAGCATAAGCTGCAATGTGAACCAGACCTGATCCTCATTCTCATTCAAATCTGCCGGCCTTTCTTTCCTCAGTGGTCTGGGTTATATCGTGGGCTCAGAGGTGGATGATGTGACTGGGGATTGGCACTGGGCCCTTCGGGTACGTCTACAGCACCAAACCTCTCACTGTTTATCTGTCTCTGGGTGGATTATATAATACATGCTTATTGCTTTCACCACAAAATCACACTAGGAGATTAAATACAATGATAACAATTCTCTGTAATTTTCTCACACGTATTCTCACTTTCATTCTCTCTCTGCCTTTTTTGTTTGCTCTTTTCGTTTGTTTCTCTTTTATAGGTGACCCCTGGTCTGGGGCTGCTGGCCGTGATCCTCTTGTTGTTTGTAGTTCAGGAGCCGAAGCGGGGTGCGATCGAAGCTCATCCAGAGCACACGCTGCACAGAACCAGCTGGCTGGCGGACATAAAAGCACTTTGCAGGAAGTGAGTCACTGAGTCACGTTAGATTTTATGCAGGGAATTTTTCAATATCTGATAATGCTTCTTGACTGGCTTCAGGGTTTTTCCTCTGTTATTAGGTAATTATTGGTGACATCACTGCAGCCTCTATCTGAGATGATCAAGGACATTATAAAATATCTAATCACTCACAATCACAAGTGATTTTTTTTTTTAGATATAAGGGTAATAACCATTGCTCTTGGTGGCTGCTGTTGTAATAAATATATATTTTTAAGAATATTTCAGCAAGTTTTTGCCCATGCATTGGAAGTCAGTCGGGTCAAAAACAGCTAAATATTTCATTTCAGTATTTTCCTCAGAAGAAAGTCATATGAAAGTATGATATATGAAATATTACAATATCGAGTGCCATTTTTCTACAGTATTATATGTGTAATTTATGTAATTGTAAACTTTGCTGTCACGGGATTAATTCAGAATAAATTAAAATAGATAAGTTTTTTAAAATTTAAGTAATATTTCACAATATTACTGTTTTTATTGTATATTTGATCAGACTTCTTTCAAAACAATTATCCTTAATTATTTCACATTTTTAACCAGTAGTGTAAATGTAATATTGCAGAAGTTGAATAAGTGATATATGATTCTCAAGCTATTTGTTGTGTGGTTATTTGCAATGATTAAATGTTTCCTTTCTGAACTCAATGTCTCTCTCTGTCTACCTCCTCATTTCTGTTTCAGTCCAAGTTTTGTTCTGTCCACGTTTGGCTTCACGACTGTGGCCTTTGTGACAGGATCACTGGCCCTGTGGGCCCCTGCCTTTTTATTCAGAGCGGGCGTCTTCACTGGAGAGAAGCAGCCGTGTTTAAAAGCCCCCTGTGACAACTCTGACAGGTGTCAGCCCCTCGTACACACCACCTCACTCTCTCAAGATACACAACATGACTTTGGCACACACTTTTGTGTTCTATTGACGTCTTTGTAGTCTTTTAACATTATAGTACTATTATGATTTTACGACAGTGCATTTGTTGTAAATATTCCTATGTTAAAAACATACACTAATAATGTAACTAATAATCTCCTCTGCTCTGCAGTCTGATTTTTGGCATCATCACAGTTGTGACGGGCATCCTGGGTGTAGCGAGTGGTGTGCAAGTGAGCAAGATGCTGAGGATCAAAACCCCTCGAGCTGATCCGCTAGTCTGTGCTGCAGGACTCCTCCTCGCTGCTCCCTTTCTCTATCTGTCCATCATGTTTGCTCAGGCTAGCACTGTGGCCACATATGTAAGTCACTCATTTGACTTCTCCTTTGACCCTGTTTTATCCAAAAGCTGTTTCTTTTTTCCAGGAAGTGTTTTCAGTGTTATATTGACCGCAGTGTTGAATGTAGGGCAGTTTTATGCTGACCATAGTTTCGTGTTCCCACCAGATCTTTATCTTCCTGGGTGAGACATTCCTGTCTATGAATTGGGCCATTGTTGCTGATATCCTTCTGGTGAGTTTCCCTTCTCCCATTTTATCCAATACCAAGTCAAAAGAATAAAGAATAGACAAATTTATTTTATTATTCACTCACCCTCATGTTTTTGCCAACTTGTATGCTGTTGTTTTTTCCGCAAAACACAAAAGTAGGCTTGTTTGAAGAATTGTTCGATAGTTATTGCCATTCAACAACATAGTGTTCAGAGTCCGCAGCTTGTCAAACTCTAAAAAAGACAAGAAAGCACCATAAAGTAGTTAATATGACTGGCACACTATTATCAAAGTCTTTTAAAGCAGTGATTCTCAATTAAAGGGCTTCCAATGGGGCCCACAGAATGACTTAAAATTATTTAATTATATGTTTAAAAAATAATTAAATCAAGCAAGAAGCTAAAAACATCAAAAATCAAGCTGAAACGGAAATATTAATTTTTTCCCTCATCAATAACTTTTTTTTTTTTTTTTGAAAAACATAAAAATCCAAATCTAACAGAATCACCAAATGAATCATGTTTAATGAATTTTATTTCAACACTCCCAATTTCTGTTAATAAAAAAACGAGTAGCATTGCTATAATTACAACAGAAATACCAGAGGAAATATTTAGGCTAATATTGTCTTTGAATATTGTGAAACACTGTTCTAAAGCCACTTCATATCTTTGCAATGCTTTAGAAATGTCTTCTTTTGTGTTCCAGTGAAATAACAACAGCATATGTGTTTGGAACAGCATGAGGTCTCTCTCTTAATGTTCTCTCTCTTCTGTCAGTATGTTGTGATCCCCACACGGCGCTCCACAGCGGAAGCCTTTCAGATTGTACTCTCGCACTTGCTTGGCGACGCTATTAGCCCTTACCTCATAGGAGTGGTACGTCAATCTCACAATTGCACACAAAAAGTCTTTGGAAATTCTTTTTAAAAAACACTTTAGGTTGCATGTCATGTGTTTTTTCCCCCGATTAAGGTGTCAGACTCGATAAAGAAATCAGACTCGTACATGTGGGAGTTTCGTTCACTTCAGATGTCACTGCTGCTGTGCTCCTTCGTGGCCGTGGGGGGCGGAGCTTTCTTCCTGGCCACGGCCCTCTTCATCGAGAAAGACCGGCATCTGGCAGAGAACTACGTGCCCTCTGGTGAGTGAAATCACTGATGACATCCCAGTCTTGTCTTAGATTAGAGGTCATTCATATATTTCCAAAGAATTTGGCCATTTCAGGACATTCTTGGAAGTCTTGTTTGTTTGTTATTTTAGTTTGTTATACTTTTATGCTTATTAATATGAATTGAATTAATTTATTTTGTTTATTTTTATATTTAGTTTAGGTTTTAGTAATTTGTTATGTGATGTATTCAAATATATATTATATAAATATATAATTATATTATATAAATTATATAAATATATTATATTCTAATTCTATTCTTAAAAAAAAAAAACATGCCCCTTTTAGACTTGCACACTATTAATTTATTAACTGCTTCACTAGCTTCTCTATTCTTTTCTAATATTCTAATTGTTTTGTTTTCATTTATTATACAACTAAAGCAAAAACGTCCTCTAACACTAGCTTGCTCCAGTCTTTTTCTATTCTGTTTTCTTTTTATTTATTATATGATTTAAAAAAAACCTTGCTACGTGTACTGCGTTAAGCTAACTGAGACTTGTTATAGCACTTGTATATCATTGCTCTTTTGTTGATGTTGTTTGCTTCCATTGTCCTCATTTGTAAGTTGCTTTGGATAAAAGCTTCTGCTAAATGACTAAATGTATTTAGCTTTAATTTTATTTTTATTTTAGTAATTTTAGTACTTAACAACTTATTTCATTTAGATGTCAGTGCAACATTTCTAAAACATTTTTTTAAGTTTATCATGTAATATTTATATTTTATTTCAACTTTATTTCAATAAAGCAATAAGCCCTGCTTCGCGTCGTGCTTAACAATGCCCCTTAGCTGTTATAAATTCACTGTAAACCACAGCTTCACGGGGCTTATTGCTTTTATAAAACGGTTATTCCATATATGTAGTAAGGTTTCACAAAATAAAACCGAGCAAATAAAGTGTAATGATATAAATAAAAACCGTATTCTTCCACCAAACTATGTAGTTCCTCAGAAACAGTTGTGGATGCAATAAAGTGGTTGCCAAGCAACACACAAAGTAAACAAAGGTGTATGTTTTGTACAACAGCTTAGAACGTGGCTCAACCAATCAGAATCAAGGACCGGAACTATCCGTTTTTTTATTAATTATAACAATGTTTTATAGTTTTAGTTTATTCTGTGTATTTTGCAGTGGATTGGTTTGAATTGCCACTAATAATCCTGCTTTTAAGAAGGGATTTTATGGCTTGCTATCATAAGTGCATTACTATAAATGTATGTTTTTGAATTAATTATAAATTTTCTTTTTAGTCTCTTCACTAAGCAATATGCTGACTGGTTGTTATAAGTCATCTTTTCCATTTGTCGGTTTTGGCTTATTCTTTATATGCAATTCTCAGTCACTTAATTTGTTAGGGCTGTTACAGTTACTTTGGAAATCTAATGTACTGACGTGTCTCTTTCTTTTTCAGATGACGCACCAATTGTTGTTCCAAAGAGAGGGAGGTCCACTAAAGTATCAGTGTCAAGTGTTTTAATTTGAGATGACTCAAGGATTTGGATTGTTCTCAACACGGGGCACAACACTGGCCTATAGGCAGACAGAGCCAGTGCCATCAGCAGCCAATCCTGGAGCTCTAATCACTGATTGAACTATCTCCACAATAGGGAGTTTTATAGTAATTTATTATGCTTATATTTGTGTTTATATCCTTAACACCGATATTGATTTGGGAACATTTTGAACTAACAAAAATATCAGGAACGTCTTACCTGGAAGTCCTGTGTGCCGTTGACCATTCTGCCTTCCACCCGGATGAGTCCTGTGGGAGGAGACAGAGGCACACGGGGAACACGTGAAAAAAAGGTTATATGCTGAGGACATTTAATTGAAACTCATCGAGCTGTGTTTTAGAATTCATGTAAATTATATTTGAGATGTTTTTATTGGAGGGGATCTCAAGTGATTTTTCAGATTGCTGTTTATAGGTTAAGTCAGCTAACTAAAACCAAGGTACTCTCAAAATGCTGTTGCATTTGTTTTCATCAGACCTTGACTGTGACTGAAAACTAGCAGAATCAGACTGAGCCTGAGCAGCACTGAAGCCTGTCTGTGATCTGCCTTCAGTCTTTCCTCCTCTTTTAATGTTTTTTCTTCTATGCTAGTAACATTTGAGCTTTTAGTCTTTTAAGAAGTACACCGAAACACTAATGCTACCGTGGCATGAATCACATATTAATTCATTTGTTTATATATATTTTTTAAAATAACATTGTTACATATATTTGTTGCAAGGGCCTGGTTCATGGCATGTTTTACTGTGCCATTTTAACTGTAAGAAACTTTTTTGTTTTTAAAGGAAACAGTTCGTTGTGCATTCCCTCTGCTGTTGTTGTTGTTTTCTAGGCAATTCGTTTGAGTTAATTTGCAAATGTTTCTGTCTAATCTTGTTTTCTAACTTTTTTTTAACATTAAATGAGGAATTTAATCTAATTTGTGTCTTTTTGATCGTTTTTCACGTGTTGAAACGTGCTTGTAATCTGTTATAGCACATGAAAATAATGGCGAGTATTTTTATTTCTGCTTGATATCTTTCTCTCCGTCTCTCGCATGTTTGCGTTCTCTCTCTGCAGTGGCAAGAACGATGATCATAAAGTTTTTCAGTTGCTGTGGTTTCCTGTTTGTAGGTGGGATATAGAGATGCAGGTCTGTTTGGTAAATTTGCTGTGAAAATTAGTCTCGTGAATGAATTATGAAAACTGAAGCGCCTAAACCGAAACATGCATTGTCTTTGCAGTGGAACATTTCGGTGGATGATGTTGTGCTTGTGAGAATACAATGTACCAGCTTGTCATTCCAGTAATTTGTGTTTGTGTAGGTTACAACACCACAAAATGCCACAAGAGTGGGAGGCAAGATTGAGAAATTATGACTCATTGTCCGCCATAACGAAGCAACGAATTAACACTTATAGTTCAAATCAGGCAAGGTTTTTAACATGCATTTTTTAACTCCTCATGAAACAGAGAAACACCTGTCTTCTGTGATACTTCAAGAAATATTATGAAGCATGATTCTTAGCTCAATTCTTGACTGTTTTTTTTATTTTTTTTTTATGGCCAATTATTATTATTTGACATTAAATCTTGCAATGGGACACCACTAAGTTTTATTTGGATTCTAATGTGGTCAAATTCTCACCCTAATGTAACTCAAAGTCAAGTTCTGCTTTTCTTAATCTATAAGGTTTAAAGCAGGTTTTACAGGAAAGCAAGCCTTAACGACTTTATCTTCTGAGTCTAACATCTGACACATGATAAAAATTAAGGAAAAGCAACAAAAAAAAAAGTTATCAAATCTGCATGGCGACAGAAAACTGAACCTTCAGATATAAGAGATGAAACAAGAAGGGAGGTGAAGTGAGCAAGAGATCAGCCAGTTACAGAGATGAAGAGAGGAAAAAAAGATGCTGACTGGTGCAAGCGACTTTCTATGAGCCTATGAGGAGGCAGAGAGTAAGTGCAGCGAGGAAAGAAACCTAAAAGTGAAGTTCTTTGCGGCAAAGGCCCTGTAGATCAGGACACACCTCAGCGGCTCATATGAAATAATGAGACTTAGGGAATTAACTTCAGCAGATATGAGCATATTAAGAAACTGACTACTGGGATTGCTTAAGTTTGGGTTGGGAGGTGAACTAAAGGGGAGAAATTGAGGACCAAGGAGTGAGCCGTGAGGGAGGAAGAGTAAAAAATGGAGGCACCTTCAGTGTGAGCTGCGAGTTAGGTGTGATTTGTACAGTCTGCAGCGTGTGTGTGAACTGGTCAGCAGTTTGGTTGCAGGTTTCTGCTGAGCAGAACGTGTGGTGTCTTGATTGACTTGATTGCTGCTACTGATACTGGTAAGCCTTTTACTTTATTTTCTCTTCAAGTAACACTGACTATTTGTGGAGAAAGTTTTCTGTGCTGATTACAGAGAGATTGAGTTTGAATACAGTTATACTCATTCATATCTGATTTTTTTTTTTTGCCAATCGCCCTTTTCTACAAATGGTAAAGAAATCCTACAGTATATGTGATCTGTCACTTTCAATCAGTGTCGATGACCTTTGGTTTTCTTCTGTGGAAGCAACATGCCATTTAGCACCAACTTGGCTGACACGATTAACAAAAGGTTTCAAATTGCCATGAAAATGAATCAGAGTTATTCATCTTCCTCAATTTCGAGTGCTGAATTCATATTAAGACGATAAATGTTTCAAAACAGTCTATTGCCTTTGCAAGTCAGCAAACTTTTTGCTCCCCCCCCCAAAAAAACAGCTAACTTTTTGCCAAAAAATATTTATTTAGAAGCTTTATTTTCTTACTAATTGACTCTAAATGTAATATGGCTGTAGTGTGGTAAAGATCAGAGGGTCAAGAGGTCTCCAACCGCAAATGAAACCTGATTATCACATTCACTATCCTTCGTCAAGCCAATTACATTAACATATGTTTTTTTCACGCCTTTAATTCTGACCAAAATAACTTGGCAGCTTTGCTTGTATTTAGTTTAAGAAAATTTAGGTAAGGCCGCCATTTGCCCTGCTTTTTTTGTGTTCTGGGTAGTAGTTCTCTATGACTTGACAGCTCTGGAATTAAGAGAGGCCCAGACCATAATGTGTCGTTTTTCTTCTCATGTAACTGCAAAATACAGGAAATCCGTTTCCTGGCACTAAATGCAACCACAGACAGCCACACGCTCACATATATAGAGGTGTGTAAAAGCTTGCAAGGCAGGTGATGCTGAGTGAATTTTCACAGATTGAGAATTTGCCTAATTAAACCAACGTTTCATCTGAAAAGCGCTGACCACTCAGAGATTGTTGTATCCGTTAAAATGCACACAGTGATCCATGCTGAGGTAATCAGGAGTTTATTTTATCTATGGTGTTAATTAAGCAGACTGCGTTTATCTAAAGCAAGTGAATAGTGCATTCCCAAAATGACTATTAAGAAAAAGGAATTTATATATAGGCCTATTGTGATGTTTATGCTCAATTAAAAAATCTGATAAAATACCACTTAAGGGTGTTTTTTTCAACTTCTGTTTTTATGTCCCAGATTTTTTCACTGTCTGTTAATGTTTTGTCGCATTAGATTTATTATTTATGTTTTGGTTTGTCACATTAAAACGATTTTGAAAAGTTTTTTGTAATCATACTTTTCAAATGTATATTTCCCGCTTTTTAAATTCTTTTGTGTATAGATGTTTCCCCCCCATGTCCAAACCCAAACTTTAAGTAATAAAACGTGAAAATATTAAAAAACATAATCAAAATTTGAGGATTACATATTTAAAACTTTAATACTATAAATAATGTTTTTTGTACTAAAATTAGACATGTGATGATGAGTGAATAAAGACATATCAAAGTAAAACCACGTTATTCAAATATCTGAGGTGTTATTTTCAGTTGAGCTGTAAATTTTGTCGAATTTTGCAAAGTGTGAAAATATTTCATTGTGTGCATTTAGGCTGCCCAAAATGCAAGCTAAGAAATTATCCTTACCATGTGAGTCCATCATCTTATTGCAAAAATATTTAAAATGCAATTTCCACCACAAAACGCTATCAAACAATACATCATTCGAGATGCGATATAAATTACATTGTGAGAATTTAGGATATGAACTATTTGTCATTATTAATAGACCAATTAAACTAGTGCGAGAGTTTATATTCTGAAACAGAGACTGTAAATAGATTAGAAGTGTATTTAATTTGAAAGGGACTTTGAGTTATATTTGCAGAAACATCTTTATACTGAATATAAGTGTTCTCTAAAAACAAGTCCTTATGCAACACTTATCTGGCTTCTCGGTTAAATGTATCCTGTTTTACTGATGTTGAGATGTTTTTACTGGAAAACAAGATGTTACTGGTTAAGAGCAGGATTACTGACATGTATAAATGATGATTAGACTTACTACTCATCAACACCAAGATCTGCAAGACAACGATAAAGCTAGTTAAGCTAGTTAAGAGATCTAAATGTCCATGGTGGGGATCAGAGCAGCTCTTCGGTTTTAAGAATTAAATGATAAGGAATAAATTATCATGAATAATGTTTTAAAGAGCTCATGGACGGAAGATCTGTGTTTTCATCTGTTTCTTAAAGATTGTGGGAGACCAATACTTATTGCTAACATTAAGTAACAAAAAAGAGCAGCTCTGTTGTTTCATTTGTATAGTTAAAACAGGTCAACATAAAAACCAAATGAAATTAGTTCACCTGACTTTTCATTTGTGGCTTCATCATTTATACAAAATGAGAGTATGGAAACATTTCCCAGGTTTAGTCACACTAACCTAAAACCACAGATTCAGAAGAATGATGTTGCTCTCCGCTATGGCCTAATACTGTCATAAATCGATGTTCTCGTATTGTCTTCTCAGTTATGGACTCCACTGCACTGCTGTCTGTGGTAGGCGGGGCTCTATTCCTGTCAATCATCCTTTTAGCCAGTCTTTGTACATACTGCTGGGGGCATAAACAACCAAGTAAGGCCTCCTAACTCTTATCTGTAATAAAAATGTTTGTCTCATCAAAGCTTTATGTTAAAAAGGACGCTTGCGGTAAATTTAAATTCAAATAAATGTAAATACTCACAACATGGTTTTGCACAACTATAACAGTTAGGGTTGTCACCTTCAGCGAGGCAAAATAAGGGACACCCGTTCACGAAAGGGACGGGTGGCAAGTTGGCAACCCTAAAACAATAACCCTGAGAAAGAGTTGTATGATGTACACGCCCATTTATAATCGAGGTACGGAAGGTTTTTTGTGTAGTCGAGCTGCAGTCACGATCTTTCTGTCCAAGAATACATGACGCACTGCTTGACATTTCAAAGACCTGAAGACTGATGCGTCGTGCGTCGCCCGTCTCTTTTACGGAGCATGCGCAAAATGCCGGTTAATCAGATTGGCGTTCTGCGCATGCTCCGTAAAAAACACAGGCGATGCACGACCATACCTACAGTATCCAAATACCCACATTTGCGGTCTTTGCACTTGACCACTTGACTACTTATATGTCGTATTTCCTGGCCACACTTAGTTTTTCTTCCAAATGATATGTAATAATATCTAATTATATTAATATTTCACTTGCATTGGAAAGGTTTCCGTGAAAAATCTCACGATTTATTCCAAAACATGATGCATGAAGGGACACACTAATGCCGAGTTCACACTGCACGATTTTCAAACTCGTCGGATCGCCGTTGTTTTCACACTGCGTGACTATCTACCCACATTTGCGGTCTTTGCACTTGACCACTTGACTACTTATATGTCGTATTTCCTGTATTTGGGCCAAGTGTGGATGAAGACCCCGAGTGTGTGTAGAACAACGCTTTTAGAGCACTATAAGTGTGTCCTATCAGGTAATGAAAACATTACCTGATGGGACACACTTATGCCGAGTTCACACTGCACGATTTTAGCCCGATTTTTCACTCGCCGACAGGTTTTGCGAAATCGCCGACAAATGTCCGAAATCGGAGGCAAATCAGTGCTCGTTCACGCGAGTGACAATCATGCAGTGTGAATTATCAAAGACGCGATCTGAGGGAATCACCGACACGTCGCCCGCGAATAGCGCTCCGGAGATCGGGAAAGGGTCACGAGGACACCCATAGCGCAACGACACTGTTTGTCGTGCCTATTATTTACAAGCCAATTGTAAAGCATCATGACAACCCATACAGCAAAAATATAATTTCAAATATACTTACTTTTAATATATATTTAATTTAAAATATAGCCTATTTAAATATATTTCAAAATATAAAAAAGAATGGCCAACAATGTATTTGTTAAACAGGCTAAGTTTCACAATATATCTAAACAGTATATATAAAATATTATATAATATATAAATGATATATATATATATATATATATATTGAATTACTGAAATAAATGAACTTTTCCACGACATTCTAATTTATTTAGATGCACATGTATATATATATATATTTGGCCATTTTTTAGCCTATATTTTCGAAAATATATTAAAAATCCACATTTTAAAAGTATTTTATTATTAAATAATTTAAGTATTTAAGTATTAATCAATATATTTTGGCCTCCATATAGTTAAATCCAAGAAAATACATTCACACATGTTAAATTATTAAAGGTTAAATAATTAACAATAATTTTGATAGGCTAATCCATCCACATTTTGGTTTAGCCTAAACATGGCCTAGCCCTAGGCTATAGAACTGAAATATATTTTCTTGCCCCATTTTGAAATGGTACATGATGAACTAAATGAACTAAATAGCCTATTTTTTCAATTTCATAAGTGTATTTCAGTTAGCTTCACTGTTCACAGCATATATCTAGCATATTTTTAAAACATATTTTGGTCAGGAAAAAATATTTTGTCTTATGGGATGATGTAGTTTGTTTCTTGGCTATATTTTATTTCTTTTATAGCATCCATCCATCAGAGGTCCAGTGACTCAGAATACAACCCAACGTAAGAAACCAGCCTCTCTGCCAAATAAAGGATCTTGTCAGCTACCCATATTCAATCATAATTTTCATGCACATTTACATTATAACCTCCTGACTACCAGGAAAAACAGTTTTGGGAATTTAGAATTTTGTCATGTCATTACATTGTTTAGAGCATAAGAAAAAATTTGAAAAATAAAATTTTTGAAAAATTATATTTTATTCATATGTTATGCCATGTCCTCTATAGAAGACATCGGGACTTTAAAAAGTCCTGTTTTTTTAAGAAATAAAAAGACATGAATAGACATGAAAAGGCAAAAACAGTGGGATTTTTGTTTTAATCACAAATCAATTTTAATTTTTTATACCGAACATTATATAAAGACGATTCTCAGCTATGTTATGAAAGATATTTAAAAAAAAACATTTTTCTTTATGCAAAAATGTGTGTAAAATGGCCATAAACAAGTTTTGCCATTATATACAATGTATCTATAAACTGTATCTAATCTGCATATTAATAAAACATAATGTCCTCTACAGAGGACAAAACTCCATAGCTGGTAGTCAGGAGGATATAATTGGCGTTTGTTTTTTGTGTGTTGGCTCAACATTGTCTCTCTTTATACAGTTTTGTGGTTCGGCATCCCGTGTCAACATGTAAATATATTTTCCTCTCTGCTAACACACAACAAAACTCACAAATTGTTGTATCTGCATTGTTCATATAAATATCTACATAAATACATAAATATCTGCATAGCCTAAATAGTGCTTGTCTCATCCCTTATTATTCAGATGAGCACCATACGGATCATACCAGAATTGGACCTTACCAACCCAAGTGAGTTCACACAAACACAGATGTATAGTACACACAGACTGCGTTGTGTGTTCAGTGTGTTAACAATCACTCTGTCCTCAGTTCACTCAGTTCACCATCTATTACGGTCACAAAGGTGCCCTCCTGTCCTCCCTCAGAAAGTGAGTAGCATACAGTCATCATGGTATTTGAGACAATATACTAATCTAATGTCTTGTATATATAATGGAAAAAAAAGGCACCACAGTGTTGACGACTTATGAAATGCTGTCAGCGTCTAGTGCTCCATTACTACAATTCAAAGCTGTATGACACAAAAAATGTTTAGCTTTTGAATATATAGGCCTATATTTTTAAGGTAACTGATTTCAGTTGATTTCTTTTAATGTATTTAATTGTAATTTTGTATTATTATTATTATTATTGTTTGCGACTTTGAGCACTTTGAGCTACACTTTACGTATAAAAAGTGCTATGCAAGTAATTTTTAAGGAGTATTATTATTATTAAAGCATACATTTCTAATTGTCTCTCTAGCTGGAAGTCAAGCCAGTTATGTGAATCAAAACGGTGAGGAGGGAATCAACATTCATGTCGATGGCCATGGTCAGAAATCAAATGACTCACTTTTGTATTGTAATTCTGGGTAGTTTGCACATTGTTAACTGAATATGGGTTAAATGTAAACTCTTTGTGAATAAACACGTGTGTGCATGAGAGACTGATTGCTAAATAATCCTGAATATGTGACTCTTCTATAGAGAGTGACGATGAGCCGTATGTTCAGCCTCCAAGTGAATACATGTAAGAGCGCACCTGCCTGATCCCAGATCTCCACAAACGATTCTAAACTACTAATCAGGCTAAAGCTGAATCATTATCCATATAAAACTGATGGAGAACATCTCTTTTCTCCAGAGTTGTTCTTCCAGATTCCCCAAACACGCTATCTCAGAGACCCAGCAGAGCTTCATCCCAGAGCTCAGGTAGAAGATCTGAGATTAAATAAGAATAGCTCTCTATTTACTCTATTTGTTTCATTATAAATACATTGGTTAATAAAGTCCTCTGATCCTCTGATAATGTTGATGCTGACGTTTTTGTAGGAGAACCTTACATAAATGTAGACCATGTGTCTGAAGCTATATTTGACTGTGAGATGTATGTGGATGAATCAGACTCAGGTACTACATGCTGAACAGAAATAATGACCGCAAAGCAACGCTGCAATGCATATCCTAACTTTGTCCTGTGTATGCTGTGGTGTTTTGTTTTTACAGACATTCCCGATTATGAAAATTGCAGAAATTCTCAAGACCACAGGGAACAAACCCATAGTAAGTTTTTAGATTAATAGCAAATAGTTATTTTTTATTTATTTTCTGCTAAACAGTGAGATTTTTTCCCCTTGCTTTGCCTTTCACTCCTCACCTACAAACATGGAAATTATATATATTAAGTACATATGTATATACACTGCCAGTCAAAAGTTTTTGAACAGTAAGATGTTTTTTAAAGAAGTCTCCTCTGCTCACCAAGCCTGCATTTATTTGATCCAAAGTACAGCAAAAGCAGTAATGTTGTGAAATATTTTTACTATTTAAAATAACTGCTTTCTATTTGAATATATTTTAAAATGTAATTTATTCCTGTGATTTCAAAGCTGAATTTTTAGCATCAGTCTTCAGTGTCACATGATCCTTCAGAAATCATTCTAATATGCTGATTTGCTGCTCAAGAAACATTTTTTATTATTCCTATTATTATTATCAACAATATTTAAAACAGTTGAGTACATTTTTTTCCCAGGATTCTTTGATGAATAGAAAGATACAAAGGTCAGCTTTTGTAACACTATACACTGTACCATTCAAAAGCTTGGAGTCAGTATAATATTTTTTTTGTTGAGAAATTATAGAAATAATACTTTTATTTAGCAAGGATGCTTTAAATTGATCAAAAGTGATGATAAAGACATTTATAATGTTACAAAAGATTTCTATTTCAGATGAATTATGTTCAAACTTTTTATTAAAACAAATATTATTACAACAAGAAAATAGATTACAAATTTTTAACATTTAACATAAATTTTTTTTTTTTTTAATTTTAAGGCCAAACCCAAACATAATGCATAACCAATAAAAAAAAAGAGAAAAAAATAAAGAATTAGAACGGAAGAAAAAAAAATTTAATAAATAAAATAACTACAAAACTATCATAAAATAAAGAATACAACTAATTATAGAAAATAGCATTTCTGAAGGATTATGTGACTGGAGTAATGATGCTAAAAAATTCAGCTTTGAAATCATATTCATTAGTGTTTGAATATATTTTAAAATGTCAAGTTATTTTAAATAGTAATAATATTTAAGAATTGTCCTGTTTTTGCTGTACTTTGGATCCATTAAATGCAGGCTTGGTGAGTAGAAGAAACTTCTTTAAAAAACATTAAAAATCTTA